CAGTCTTGCTGGGGTATGAGCTGACCACTGCCAGGGGAGCACCAGGACTTGTGCCTAAAATTTGTTTGCAGTAGGATGGCACTATTCTGGCTAGTGATTTATTATAGACTTGGTAAAAGCACAGATCCTGAGTCAAATGTAGACCTGCTCTCAGGGTGTGTCCAGCTGTCTGCAGAGGCAGAGCTGAGCTGGGGACGGTGCTGAGCATCCCATAGCTCCTCCAGCGAGCTGTGAGTTACTGTCAGTACCACCACACCATGTCAAAGCTGAAGGATTTCCATATTTACTAGCATTTATAGTCTACGTTTCTCTGCTGTGTAAACAACAGCGGTTTATTTGACTGCAGGCACAGAAAGCACAGCTGGTGCCTTTCTGGGGCAGTAGTTTCCATACCCTGTCCTGCTGTTAGAAGAAGAGAAACTGGAGAGTGTGTTTTTAGGAAGGGAAAATCTACAGTGAGTTATGGGGAAGTTTTATGACATGAACAAGAAAGCGACATGGTAGCCCTGCACAAATCCCCGTCAAACACAGATGGTGACAAAGGACTCAACAATCCCTCTTGCCTTCAGTTGTTAAGTGATATCTCTTACTGTATTATGTCTCTTTTAAGAGACCCAGGATTCCATGTGGGATGTTTCTCTTGGCTTCCTATGCTGAGATTTGATAGTGCAGTTGAAGACTTGGAGTGTTTTGGTTACCAACTGGCAGTAATTGCTAAAGGTGAGAGCAGCGAGCTGTGAAATTTCATAACACCACTGTCACAGCAAATAACCCCTCAGGTTTTATAGCTGCTTTCTCTCCTCAGACCTCTTACACAAACATAGCATAGTAAAGTCAAGGATCTTGTACAGATGTCTCTGCTTTGGAACAAAGTCACCCTTGAGCAACCCACAGAAACTTTACTGCTGTAAATATTTGATCCAGGAGAATAGGTAGGCATTGCTGCTTCCCCGTGCCCTGGCAAAGGGAACAGCCCTTAGACTGTGTGGTCTGTTAATATTTTTTTGGTACTCAGAGATGGAATTTAAACTCTAACATTTGACAGCATAGAATACCTTGGTGCAAAGCTGAAAAGGCACAGAGGTTACAGCTCAGAGCTGTGAGGGCCAGACTGGCAGGAGGAAAAGCCCTTCTGTCTGCACACAAGGTCCTGGCTGCTGCTGTGACCCAGGTACCACCCACTACTTCTGCATCCCTTGGAATCATGAACCCACTGAACTCAGTGCCTGTGGTTTGGGTTGTCAAGCCAGAGACTTTGAGTTTAAAGAGCTGTTTTGAAAAATAACCCTTCAGTGAAAAGATATTTCTTCTGTATTTGCTATTTAAAGCTGGACTCCATTTTATTTTTTCAGGAGATGTGTCATGTCTATCTTTTAATTTTTCTGTTTAAGTAAAGTGCTACATTTTAACCTCCTAGAATGATGTTTGATTAAAATCAGACCAGTAATCTGTCTCTGCTGACAACTGAGGGACTTCTTATCAGCTTTGTCCTTCATGGAGAGAAAAGAGACAGCACTGACAGAGGACAGAGAATGCCAGAAGTGCTGTGGGAGGGGGCAGTGCCTTTGCCAGAAACGGGTGGTGGAAACGAAGCCATTTTATCTGGGAGCGAATAAAATTAATCACTCTGGTATTTCTTATTCCTCAAGTGTTGCCTTGGGCAGGATATTCTCTTACAACACTTGGAGGGTTTTGGGCTGCTCTGCAGTGATGATCAAGAAATTAGCTTTGGATTGAGGTGACTGTCACTTCACAGCATCAGTTTAATGTGGCCTGGGAAAATCTTTCCCAGATAGTCTCTGCTAACAACCTCTTTTTCTCTGATAATGGTGAAGATTGAGCAACGAGAAAAAATCACATCCCCAAATGTGAAATGTGGTGGGAATCAAGCAACAGCTTTTTTTATTCAGTCCCAGCTTCAAATTGGCAGATGTTCACTACAGAAAGTGAGGAGCCTCCTGAAATCACAGATTTAGATAGTAGTAGTAGTAGTCTTTATTTATGTTAGAGTGATTCTTCTTGCCTCAATCAGGAAATCACAGATACTGGATGAGAGCTAAATGATTCCCTGTACTTCCAAGAACTTACACTCTGAGATGTGGAGGATGGCAATTTCCAGGGGAAGGCTAAACAGGCTTTCTAAATGTCTGCAACATCTTTTGCTCTGTGTTATTCAACAATGTGTGTCTGCCAGGCTGAAGTCAGAGGCTGCACCAAGTCATCATCACTGCACACCACGCTCTGCTCTAAAAAGACAAAGCTGGCAAAGGAGGGCGGGAATTTTTTTTTTTTTTTCACTTTACACTTATAAAGAGAAGAGTGAAGTCAGAGAACTTTTCTTTACAGTCCAGTTCTTCACAGAGAGCATGAGACACTCAGAAACTTAGTTTATTTTTATATCCCTCTCCCTCCTCTGTGGTGCAGCAGAGCATGCACAAATGGGTAATTTAGATCACTTAAAAAGTCATCATACCAAAGGTATTAGCAGAAGTGGGTTTAATATGGTGTTGTAGAAGTACAACTCAACAAAATTTGATGGCAAGGTTCACTCTATTCTTTACTACGGGGATGAAACATCCAAAGGAAAATCAAGTTAAAATTGAGCTGGAATGATTCACACAGCGACCAGAGACACAGAAGGGTAAGGGAGACCCTTCCATGGAGTTGGGAGGTTCAGGGTGGGTCCCCTTGCTCTTTAAACACCTGATGGAGCTCAGATGTGGCTGTGTCCAATCTTAGTCTCATACTTGGCCAAAGGTTTATGTCTAATGGAATTGGCTACATGAATTTCATTAGTATTAATTCAGCAACTGCCAGTCACTCACTGACAATCTGTGATGAATAAGGGGGTCTCTTAGTCTCAGGTAAGGAAGGATCTCTTAGTCTCAGGTAAGGAATCTCAAGCCTTGAGAGGTGTCCCAGCTCAAGGGGAGATCACCTCAAGGGAGGGCTCAGAGAAGCCTCACTTAAGCTGTTGTATTTAAGGAATAATTTTGGCTTCTAGTCAAATTGCATACAATGGGAAAGGTGGGCATGAGACTCCGTGTACCCACAACCTTCTTTGTTCCTTGATATATGAGTCTTGGTAAAGCCACCCCGCTGTTCATGTGTTAATTGCACGATTGGTGTTCCAGGCTGAGATGCATCAATGCTCTGACATATGCTCATATGTCACTGTTCTCCATCGTGGGTTTCCTGGAGGAGTTCTTGGCCCAGCTCCTGCTCAGGCCTTTACCTCCTGTGGAGCCTGTACCAACCTGCTGCTGGTTTGCTTAAGGGTTAGAACTCATCTGTCACAGAGCAGAAGGGACACTGTGATATCTGTAGGTGAAAGGAAATGGGCTTTTCAGAGTGCTCAGTCCACCTTAGATGTGGCTTCATTTAGGGTGTCAGAAGTGGTGAAGCAGCACAATCCAGCACTGCAGGAAATGGGGGTGTTAAGTTTTCCAGAATGACTCAACGCTTCTGTTGTCACCAACTCAGCAGTGACAGAAAGTGGAACTTGAGGGGGGTTGAGTGGGATGGAAATAAATTGGATTAAGAATGTGTCAGTGTCTCAGTTAATTGGTGCTTGCAAGGAAGATGGTTTGGCCACTGCTGTCATCTGATGGGACATTTTCATCTCTACAGAGCAGACCAAGGCCACCACATAGAGCAGGTGAGTTTGTGGTCCCTTAAGAGAGAGGGTTGCCTGTTGGCCACCAGATAACTCCTTATGGTCTCTGACAAGTGGATTTTTTCTCAATACCTTAAAGCCACTGAGTGGCCTTGAGACCATCTTCCAGGATGTTCTTCCTACCTGTTTGATAGGCAGCTGTCACAGTAGCTTGTGGGGCATTTTGTACTATGGAAGAGCTCCAGAGCAGGAGCACAGGACAGAGTGGGGTTTTTCCCCCAAATTAAAGTTGGAGGTCAGGTGTTAGGGACACAGAGGTGACTTGATCAGAATCTCTAGACCTCTCACCCTTGTATTTGCAATATACAGCAGTAGTCTTTAAGTCACCAGATTCCAGAGTGCCCTTAGAAACACCAGTTGAAGGCTGAAACTGCACATAGTGGCCAAGTTCTGTGTGTTTCCACCCTCTGATAAAAATATCCTTTAGACTTGAGTAGGTTTTGCTGGCAAAACAATGTATAGTCTATACCTCCTGAATTACTGCTCATGGTAAACACTGAGCCAGGTCTGGAGAGTGGGGGTTCATTTGCATTGCAAACCTGGCATGGTGTCTAGGAAGGCTGAGGCAGTGTTATTACAGTCTTCTCTTTGAAGCCAAGTAACCACAATGGCATTATTGCATCTGAGTTGATATTAATAGTGTCCTGGTGGTGGCATTATCCTTGGCTCTCTAGAGACTCAACACAAGGGGCAATCAACAGCCTGAAGTGCTCAGAAACTGAGCCTGTTTTTTCCACTGGATTAACAGCAGCAAATGCACAAACTCATTATTAAGATGGTGCATTCATTTCTTTGAAGTTATGATGGAATCTTGATACAGTTAAAAACCCCATTAATATTTACATCACTTAGTGTTACTATAAGTAAGTACATTTATTTTAACTAGAGCTGCAAATTGTTTAGTTCTTTGTAATTACAGTACTGCTATTAATTATTCATAAGGTTGTACAATATAGTGTCACAGGAAACCCGTTTTAATTTAGTGGTAAATCAATGTTTTAGTTTTGTGTAAAAACAGAAACTAATTTACCAGCCCTTCTTGCTTGTGTTTTCCCAGATGGGCTTTGCAAACCTTCCTCAGCTGCTTCTATTTAAACTACTTTTTGTAGTTTTGAAAGTTTAGAAGTTACTGGGAAAGTCTTAGGTGCAGTTTACATGGGTGCAGGTGATTTTGAATGGTCACAACAACCCTCTGCAGTGCCCAGGCTTCTCCAGGGAAGAGTGGTTGGAAAACTGCCTGGTGGAAAAAGCTGCTGGTTGACAGCTGGGGTCTGTGAGAGATCCTGTAACTTATACCTCTCCTTTCTAACTCTCTCCTCTGCAGGATGAGGTCTCTTCTGTGGACATTGAACTCCCAGCTACCTATGCCTATTGCCTGTGATGGAAGAACTGGATGTTAATGTGAGGTAGGATAAATGACACGGCTCCTTTTGTACCACGTCTTGTAAAGCTGCTGAGCTGCAGAGGGGCAGAGGCCCCATGGTGTGTTTGTAAAGCTGCAGGATGGTATTTTCTGTTTGCTTGGAGATGAAGGTCTCTGCTCATGCAGCAATGCCTGGTTTGGGGATTCTTGGAGCTTCTATGAGGATGTGGTGTCACCCTGGTATGTGTTTAAGTGTCAGATGGGACATAGACAAGTCAAGGATTTCCTTGTAGTAGGAAATGTTAGGAATTTTGCAGAGGCTGCAGTGTGAGGTTAGAGAGACATTCCTGGAAATTTTTGACAGTTCAGTTTGGGACTTGTATTTATCACAGCCAAGGGGGGTGGCAGACCTCATTTTCTCTAATTCTAGAGTAGAAAAATAAATGACCCGCAAGTATTTAATCTTTATATTTTATTGAATTTTTTAATTTCATGTGACTTGGTGATTACTATTGGGCACATTTATTTTAGGCAGTAGGTTAATGAGATGCTGTCAAGTGGTTTGAAATGAAAACTTGAAACCTTAAATTGGTTAGAGCAATCTGGAGAGGCCAAACTCTGCTTGTCCTGGGCGCTTGCCAGCGTAGGTTGCAATGGTACCATGCACAAGGTGTAAACAATGGCCTTGTGCAAGACTAGTAAAGCCTTCTTAGACCTTTGGTAAGACTTTCATTGTATTCCTACAGAGCATTTCCTGTAGCCAGGAATAAAGTAGAGCTCCCGACAGCATGAGAGCCCCTCCTTATCTTATAGCAGCTAAATCTGATGCCCTTACACTGTTGGAGCACAGGTGACTCTTATCTACACCAGTTCTGAACAGCATTGTTGGCCATTCTTGTACATTTTGCCATTCCCTTCTTGCCTTTCCTTCCCCTTTACTGCAGTGCATCATGTTGGGAAGTTGCAGTTTGATGAGTCTGAACATTGCTCAGAAGCTCTGGGCTGGTTTTCACAGGCTGGCTGGTGTTTCCATTGGACAAGCACTTAAGAAGTAGGCTTTGAGAACTAGGTAGTTTTCCAATTCTCTCACTTAACTCTTTGTAGGTCCTTGGGCAAATTCACAAGGCTGATGGGTTCTCCCCTCTGACACCTGCAGTCCAGCACTGGCAGCTCTTGTTGCTCTTCAGGTCCATAGCTGAGAGGGGAGAAGTGGAAGAGCAGCTGCCTGGCATTTACAGCCAGGACTGGGTGGGCAGAGCTGTGGTTCTGCAGCTGGAGCTCTTCTCATGCTCTTGGGCAACAAGGGGAAACCTCTGCTACGTGAGTAGGTACTTCTGAGTGTGGTCAGAGCTGTCCTGAGTACTTCACACTGTATGAAGGGTTTTTGCTTCCTGAGATGTTTGGGAGAGGTTATGCTCTTGAGAAACAAGCTTTTGAAAAAAATCACCAGCACATTCAGTGCAGGTAAATAGCTTTTATAAAACCCTTTTTATTGTAGCTGCTGGTGAAGGCAGAATCCCTTTGCTATATCAACTATGGAGAAACGATGTATTATTTGATTTTGTCACAGTAGTAATTGCTTTTTATTTTTAAGCTGAGCCCCTAAACCAGCTGAATTTTAGATTGATGTTAATTGCTTCCAAACTTGGCTTTATCAGCTTTAGTTTTCTCAGTTTGTTGCTGGAAGTATTTTTGTGGCTTGGAAACCTCTGAAAAGCGCAGAGCCCTCCAGCAGTACTGTGTGGGGCTCATTAATCTTACCTTGACTTTGAGAAATGAGAAGCAAGGTGAGGGAACAAGGAATCAAATTGGTTGAATTAGTTATGTTTGTTTTGAAGCAAAGAAAAGATCCCATTTTTTAACCCAGCCACTGTTCTCAAAGCCCTTGTACAGAGGCACAGTGAACACTAGTTCTGACCACAGACGTTCTTGATCATATGCCCTCCTGAGTCAGGTTGCATGCTTGAGTGAGTCCCAAATCTGGAACCTTGCTGTGTTGGTCCAAGAGGCTCCTTTCCCTGTGGATTGCAAGAAGTGGAGCTGTTAGTGGCTGTCTCTAAGATGGATTTATTGCCTGTAGGTGGTACAGTGGCAGGAGGGCTGATGGCAGAAAGGGGCAAAGAAATTCTTGGGTATGCTCTCTCTATCCAAAGCTGGGGAGAAACAGGAGCAATAGTCATAGTGGGAGAGAGAGAGAACCAAAGACTCATCTGGAGCCCCAGGGATGTCCTAGGAGAGGAGTCTGTGCCCTCGGTCTCCCCTTCACTGGGACACTGGCAGCCAGTCATGAGCCCAGAGCTGGGCTGGGAGGCAGGACAGGCAGAAAACTGGGCTGAAAGCAGATGTGACTGTTTGGACAAGGAAGAAGCTGTGCTGAGCGGTTGCAACAAAATACGCATCATATTTAATGACCCAAAGCATAGAAAATGGAAGGGGTTTAAGAAAAACCTTGTATGCTCTGAGTGCCCTGTCAGTGAGGACTCATGGATAGCAAACAGCTTAAGATTCCTCCACCAGGTTCCAATAGAAGTGTTTATTCTTAGATATACACAGGCTCTTTTCAAAACCTCTCCAACTTCTACACTTTAAGTCATTAAATCATTGTTTATCTCAAGTTCTTTAATCACATTTTTGTTTAGGTGAGAAATAGCAGGCTATCAAATGTCATTTAGCAGGCAAAGAATCAGCCTAGAGCTCTCTTCCTAGTCCCCTTTCCAAGGGAAGATCAACTCTAATCCTCCTGTAATACCTGCAGCATCCGTCCAGAAAGGGATTTGCTCTTGCATTTCTGCAGAGACAAATGTGCTGATTGAGAAGATTTTTGAGCCCTGTCTCCTCCACCTGGTCCCCCCAGCAGGGACAGCGCAGTGATCAGAGGAGCACGTAGGTGAGAGCTGAGTGCTTTCATCCCTTGGTGTACAGGTGATACAAAATTCTGATTCACTTACTGAGCTGATGTGGTTGAGTGCACCTGCTCCTGAGGATAATGGCAGGCAGTGCCAGAAAAGACCAAAGTAAAACACTACAGATCCCTTATGGGGCAAGATTTAACAGTACTGATTTACATCAGCTGTAGATATGACCATGTATAGGATGAATGAAATAGGGCACAGCTCTGGGCTCCTCACAGCAAGAAGGACATTGAGGGGCTGGAGTGTGTCCAGGGAGGTAAAGGAGCTGGGGAAGAGTCTGGAGAGTCAGTCCTATGAGGAGCAGCTGAGGACATTGGGGGTCTCACCTGGAGAAAAGGAGTCTCAAGGGGGACCTTCTCACTCTCTACAACTCCCTGACAGGAGGGTGGAGCCAGGTGGGGGTTGGGCTCTGCTTCCAGGGGACAAGGGACAGGACAAGAGCAAAAGGCCTGAAGCTGTGCCAGGGGAGGTTCAGGTTGGACATCAGGAAGAATTTCTTCCTGGAAAGGGCTGTCAGGCATTGGAAGGGGCTGCCCAGGGAGGTAGTGGACTCCCCCTCTCTGGAGGTGTCTAAGGAACAACTGGATGTGGCACTCAGTGCTCTGGTCTGGTTGACAAGGTGGGGATTGTGCACAGGGTGGACTTGATGATCTTGGAGGTCTTTTCCAACCTAAATGATTCTGTGATATGTTATAAGGAGCCAGTTGAAAGATAATTGCTGGGTTTGCCAGGTTTATCCTCTCTGTGCCTGGGCGTGCTGGGATAGTCAGGTACAGCAGGGACACTTTGGAAGGAATCCACAAGCTGGGAGCACTAAAACACACAGGGTGTTTCTGAATCTGGAGTCATAGAATTTACAGAGCATTTCCCACCAGCCAACTCTGGGTGCAAGGAGAGGGGCAGAGCAGGGGGACAGAGGGAAGCAAGGCACAGTAAAGATCCTCACTTTCACGTTTTTGGGCTACCAGCCCAGCAGCCAGAAGATCCTTGGAAAAGAAGTTTGCTTTGCTGAATGCCCGCTATAGCCCAGGCACTGCTCCGCCAGAGCAAAAGCCACTATCAGCCTGGGTTCATATTGTTCAACTTTTTCTCAGTTTCTAGGGAAACACTTTAAAGCACTATATTTATCGGAACATCTTTCCAAACACCTCCGCCAACACTTAATTAATGGAATTTTTAAGCCTGGCTCCAGCTTCTGCAAATTAATAGTGTGCTCCCTTACGGCAGCTGGGGAGCAAGTGAGACACGGATACTCCCATAAATAAATTGGAGGGTGCAGAGGCAGAGGGGCAGCTCCTATTTGTCTGCATGTACTCAGCCCCTCAGGGAGGTAAGGCCATCATACACTTTTGTGATGTCTCATCTGCTTTTATTACTGTGCCCTGAGGAATCTGTGCAGATGAAAATGTTCTGGATAAAAAGCTGGGCCATAAAAACGAACTTTTTGGTGTCTTTCATCACACCTTTAGCGTCAGTGTCTCTGCACAGAGTGGCAGCTAGGGAAGAACTGGAAAAGGCTGTGGAAGGGTGTGAAAACCATCCTAAAAGACTGGGATATCCTGGAGCAGACATGGCTCTAGCACTTGGGAAAACAGGGCACCTGCCCTAGAAAGCAGCAGGTTACCCAGAGCAGGAAAATGGGCTGGACCTCATTGCCAGCTTTTCCCATGCCAGCTGCCTCAAAGGGCAAAACTGGCAACTGCGGTGCCAGGGCTTTCCAGGACACCCTCCTGGACTTCTGAGGGCTGACCCTCAGCATTAAGCAGGCAAAATTCAGTTTGTCTCCATGTTTGGGAACTCTTGAACCAGCAGTGCTCAGAGGTGGTGAGTAAGGAAGCTGGGAAGGGGGTATTAGGGTGTCTTGAGAGACAGGACTGCAGCAAAACTGGAGCTGTGCAGGAGATGCTGGACCAGATGTGTAGGGGTTCGTAGGGCACCGTGAGTCACATCGACAGAGCTGGGGTTCCTTCAAGAACAAACATGATTTTATGTCTCAGAACCAAAGGGGATTGGATGTAGGGGGAAATCTAGTGGCTCTACTCTCCTCTCAGTGAGTTAAAATTCCGTGAGCTGCTTTTGGAGAAGTGCAGAAGGACAGTCCTGAGGTCCTGATGAGATGTCTTTTCTGAGA